ATGAGCACATAAGGAATACTCGCCATTAGTATATGTGTTGGAAATAGGGAAATTATTTTACTTATGCTGGTTGAATAAGGATTGGAGACCTCTAATAGTGGCATTTGAGTTAACGTCCAATTGAATTGCCTAATTTCACTTACGCTGGTAGAATAGGGACATGAGACCCCAAGTAGGAATTAGGGAGCTATACACCAAAGGGATTGAGTATAGTGGTTTTGTTAATTTTTCGTGGAAATATAGTGACTTTCTCGGTCATGTAATGCATTAAACATCAACATGGAATAAATAAGGGATTCAATACAAAACTTAACTGCTTTCACATTATTTTAGAACAACTTTTATTTTTCACATTGAAACTCGAAAATCCCCCAAGTTTTACTTTTTATACTTGCACAGCTATTGTGTTGTTAAATATTAGTCCCTTTGGAATCGATATCCTTTTATTACTACGGCACTATCAGTAGACTTGCCGAGAAGTCATCAATAACATTTAACAATGATTTTTCTAAACAACCATTGTGATATATACACTGAGTTTATTATAAATTATGTGGAATGCTTATTTTGCTAATGCTCACTAGACATATAACCTTTTAATCTGATATAGAACACTATAATATGACAAATTAAGTTCTATTAGACGAACAAGTTACATTTTCAATTCCATACAAGAATTATTCAACTCCTTATCCGTATTTTACTCTTTAACGTTTAGAAGTTGGTTTAATGATCTTAATTCTTCAACCTCCCCTTCTTTCACCTCTAGTTAATTTTGAAAAATATTATTTAACTTGCAAGAAAAGTTAGAGGTGGAGAAAAGGGTGGTTGAAAACCTAGAAGCATTAAACCAAGTTATAACCGTTAAAGGGCGAAATGCAGATGACAAGCTGAAGAATTCTTATCTAGAATTGAACCTATAAATTGTTTTCTAATTTAACTTTGTCTATCATATTATAATTTTCTAATGTAATATGAAAAGTTATATATTCGACAAAGGGTTGGAAAAACACTCAAACCACATAAGATATAATAAATTCATCTTTTAAACAAACATTAACAACATCAAACCTTAAATAACATACAAGATACACCAAACAACTCTTATTAAAAAAATCATCAAAGCATAGTATAAACTACATATAACATACAAATTTTATTAATAACAACAACAATATATCACCTCATATAATGTTTCAGAAATGTAGATGTCCCATTATGAAAGTTCAAACACTACGAAACAAACTATTGAAATGTTAATAATAATATATAAACAAAATTTGAAACATAAACTATTGTGAAGACAAACCTGTAAGGTAGTCATTTGATAAGATTTGATGCAACAAATGTAACCTTTTGAAGAAGATAAGTTCGATGCATAAGTTTGAGGTTTTTATACGAGAGAGACGAGAGATAGAGATGTTAGGGTTTTATTTTGAGAGAGATGAGTGAAAGAGATATTATGGTTTTGTTTTGAGAGAGGCGGTTGTTATGTACGGAAGCGAGAGATAATTTCGCTTATATATAAATATGTAACACATTTCACCACGATGATAATATGAACCGTGATGAAATGATTGCACCTTACATAACAGTTGATTATAAGAATCGTCGCGATATACAAGGTCAAGCCCATTATGTCACAATGAATGAAAAATTGTTGGTGCTAGAATTCGAACCCTTTCACTCCAGATACATTTCACTATAGTTGTTAACTATGACTGGAGTGAAATATATTTTGGTAAATACCAAAAAAAAAATCCAAAAAAAAGAGTTATTACCACACTTAATAGGGAGGTCATTGTAATATGGTGTTAAGATATGTCTATTTTGTAGTAGTGAGAATAAAAGTAGAGATAAAATAAAATAAATCAAAATAAAAAACACAATTAAATTCAAAATTGAACACTTAAAGAATAAAATTGAAAAATTTTAAATTAAAAGTGTCACACTTAATTGCCTTATTGAAATCAACAATCTCCGGTAACAACGTCAAATACTTGATGGCTTTTCGGCAAGTGTACCGATAGTCTCGAAGTAATAATAAAAATATTGTCTCCACGAGAAATGTGAATTAACAAAGTTATTATGTGTGAATGAAATTAATGCAATTTGGAAGGGGGTTGATTTATCTAGTTCCCAAACATGAAAGAAAACTAAAAGAATAAAGAAAAATTACATCAGAGATCCTTTAAGTTTTTTTTAACAAGTTGCTCATTTAGATTTTTTGTAACAAGTTGCTCATTTAGATTTTTTTGTAACAACTTGGTCTTTTAGGGTGATTTATACATCATTTTTCGCACATTTTGAACATTTAAAAATGTGTGACTATTGTATTTATGGTTTCCCTTCACCATTTTCATACCACTCAAAAGAAATGCATCCAAAATTAGCACATGCGCTATGTTAAAAAGAGTAACGGTGCACACATTTGGTAACTTGAATGACCAAGTTATTACAAAAAATCTTAAAGGACCAACTTGTTACAAAAAAAATAACTTAAATAACCTCTAAAGTAATTTTGCCAAGAATAAAAGTCAAGACGAGAAAGATTATTAGGTCTTTTATATCGAATCCCCTTATTTTACCTAATGATGAGTTGTGTATTTATTGAGTTTCAATTGAATTATTATCTTACTACAAACTAGCAATACCACTGTATCCAATTTGTTGGAGTGTAGTTCACTAACCTAAACAATAGTTCCCTAATTCTTTAGGATAACCATTGTTGTATGTCTTTTAATAAAATAAAATAAAAATGCAGCATAGAACAACAACAATAGCAAGATTCAAACTCATGACTATGCGTCACTTTTCACCACGATTGGAAGTTCCAACTGTGGTAAAAATTGGCTTAAAAACAAATAAAAATCAAACTTGTATGTGATAGGATTCGAATTCATGACTAGTGGGTTTGAAAATGAAAATAAAAGGAAAACGGCTAATTGAATTGATTCTAGCAACTGCCGTATATCTTTTGACCACGGTGAAATAAAATTCGGCGGCGTTACAAAAGGTAATTTTTGTAGTAGTGAATTACCTATCCCTAGTTAATTAAATAGTCGAGTAAATTTCCTATATCAGATGCGTAGACTAAAGGTGAGAAATCCCTTTGTTCTACTGTTTTGATTGAGTTGTGTTCCGGATTGGCCCAATGGCTAGGCATGCCCCAATTCACTTCTGCTCCCAGAACGACCCAATTGCCTAAGTCCAACCTCTTTGGTGGAAAACTTACCTTTTTGTCTCTCCAACAGGAGAGGCTGATCAATTTACCCTTGGTCACAACACTTCTCCCCGCCAGTCTCTGTCCGTCACACACGGTTCCACCACCCAGAAACAGCCAAGACGTTTGTGTCCGTAACTACGCCTCTGCCCGCACCAACGGCTAGTTATGAGCACATCTTCCCGTCCCAACGGCTAATTTTGGAAGTTACATATTTTTCGAGAAACTGTTATCTCGCCCCGAAAATAGGGACCAATGGCTAAGCGCTGGGAGCATTATAAAAACCCTCTCATTTGAGAGTGTCAGGTATCCAATATTTACCATGAAACACACATATTATGTATTTGCTCTCTCTTTCTCATTTTCTTACTTTAACATCGGAGTGCCTTGCAGGTACACCCTCACATTCTCTTTTACGCCCAGCATCACAGATGTTTGTCTTTGACCCACCTCAGATTCTGATCAACCAGTAAGATCAAATTGTTTTTGTAATTTAATGTTCTTTTGTTGTATCTTATATTCTCTTTTGATAACCCTCTTGCATTTTTGTACTTAGTGATTTTTTTTTAAAATTTCGGTGATTTTCACTCTTTATTAATCTATTATTTTTTCATTAAAAAAATCTTTTAAATGTGAAACTGACCTATTGAACATTTTTTAGTTGTCTTCAAACTATATTTGTCACTGTTCAAATATTCTTGCATCCCACTCAAATATTTTTTAAATCTTAAAATTTTGAACTTAATAAATCTTCATCCATATCACGTCTCATACTCACACGAGGGAGTGTCTTCTTCCTTCAAACATTAATCAACTTTATGATATTCCCTAGACATTATAGATTTCTCGTATACATAATCTCCACTATTGTTTTTTGCCTTCAATTTTATAGCCATCAACACAAGGACCAAGGGTTTTGTCCAAGAATATGAAATTCAAATGGTAACCCAATCTTAAAAAATTAGTTTTACATATGTATATTGTATTCCTTATTTTTGTCAACTTCCATATTTTCTTCAATCCCATTGCTAGCTCTTTCGAACTTTTCTTTCTTGGATCTCACAAATGAATCAACGATCATCACTTTTAGTTATTTTAAATTATTGAAATACCCTAAAGAATTTAATAAAAAAATAAATTTCAAAGCATGGCTACTACTCTCTATTTTATTATACGTGTTTTGTTTACAATTTTCTTTTAAAAAATTACTCGTCACTTTAAAATAGTAAGACATAATTTATTAACCATTTATTTCATAAAATATATTTTAATCATATATTATTTCATCTAGATATTTTATTTATTATTAATAATTAAAATATTTTTGTAAATTATATTTATTTTGTTATTGTATTAACATTTTTATTTAAAAAAAGTGTAAAACTCAAATGAAAAACATATAATGAGAATAACGGAGTATAAGATTTTATAGTTGTTATAGTTTTTTTAAGATAGTTGTTGTAGTTATAAATTGCAAAGTAATAATAAAACTTTAAAGAAATGAAAAGAGTGTGTTGTTTAAAATAATAAATTTACCAAAAAGACCGTAAAATAAAAGATTTAGCCATCCAACACGCATAAATTGATGAGTTATGATTTCCTTTTATAATAATATTTTATTTCAATTATTATATTATTTCAGAAGATAGTAATAACAACCAAAAACATGGTGAATGCATCACAAAAATTAATGGTAGTGTGAAAGAAAGAGAAATAAAAGTAAGAAAAGAAGGAGAAAAAAAGTGAGTGTGTGAGAGAGACTCTAGAACAAACTACCATGGCATCTTCAAATTCACCATGTGCAGCATGCAAGTTTCTACGCCGCAAATGCCAACCAGAATGTGCATTTGCACCCTATTTTCCACCTGATCAGCCACAAAAGTTTGCGAATGTTCATAGAATCTTTGGGGCAAGTAATGTTACAAAGCTTCTCAATGATTTACACCCTCACCAACGTGAAGACGCTGTGAATTCTCTTGCTTATGAAGCTGAAATGAGACTTCGCGATCCTGTTTACGGTTGCGTAGGTGTAATTTCTCTTCTTCAACACCAACTTCGTCAGCTTCAAATGGATCTTTATTGTGCGAAATCCGAACTCTCTCGGTATCAGAACTTAAGCATCGCAGCTGCCACTACAGGCCTCCTGACCGGTGAATCTGTCACGGCCGCTGCAACTAATTACCACCACCACACTGGTGGTGGTAATAACCGTGATAATAACCATCATTATCATCTTCAACACCATCATCATCAGTTTTTTCCGAGGGATCAACATCAACAACATAATTTGGTTAGAAACTTTGATGCTGGAATTGGAAACAACTATGATGCTAGTCTTTTGGCTATGAATATATCTGCTAGCTTAGGACAGATCAATCAGCTTCAACATCACAGTGCCGCTGGTGGTGGTGGTGATGACCGCCGTACTGCTAACCGTTCCTAGGGTTTCTTATTAATGCTATAGGTAATAATAATTTATATTTTCATTTAATTTAAAGTCTGTCATCTATCATCGCTGAATTACATAATTGCATATGAAAATATGCAATCATTTCAGTTAGAATTCTTTAATGCTTTACATATTTGTATGCAATTTCTCATGTAATATTATACTGCATTTAATTTGCCAATTAATTTAGAAAATATATTTTTTAATTAAATCCTAGATAATGTAGTTCATATAATTTTAAATTGCAGTACTCAACCAAGATTGCGACAACAGATGATGCAATAGTGTTCACAACTGCATTACAGTCTAATTTAAAATCAAGCGCGTCTTCTACATTAGAAACTGCATTAAATAACTTAGCCCATACCTTCATTTTGAATCCAAAACTTTATTTATTTTTTAAAAATATTAATATTTAATATTTTTTAATTGTGTATTTTAAACTTTTCTCATTCAAAATTCACGCCACAATCTTTACAACCTTAACCACACCAGAATTTAAAACCATGTGGATGCATAACAGCATAAGTTTAGAATATGAAATATCTCTTTAACTCTATCACTAAATTTTGGAATGAAAAAATTGGAAAAAAAAATCATTTTAATTTGCTAAATCTATTTTTCTAGTAGGATGAATATTTAAAATGATTTAGTTCAACTATGTTATTTTTGTGTATACATCATCAAGAATTTTATTTATGGTATTTTGTTTTTCTTTCTGTTTTAAGGAGTTTTGACATTACTAGCTGGAGAAAAGAACTGAACCTGCAATCATCATTTTTGATGGACACTCTCAAAGGATAATGTTCATCTGTCAAAGCTCGAGTCGATTTTTATTTTTATTTTTTATTTTATATTTATTACAAAATATCTAGACAGAAAATTATATATATGATGTCAACATGAAGTTATGAAGTAGCTGACCAATATTTTACTATTGTGTTTTTACTGTCTCTATGCAGAGAGGACAAATAAGTGAAGATGAAAAGATTATCACTATTAGCAAATAGTTTATTATTATCTTCTTTTAATCAATAATGATGGTACAGTTTTGGTCAAACATATATATGGTGTTAATTTGCAGTTATATGAGAATATTTGTTTTTAGAATTTTATTTGTATACTTTGGGAATTAAAATGGATTTATATAGTTCTAACTATTTTTCATTATTTAGATATTCTTATTCGTGTTTAGAAAAATGATATTCAAATATATTTAAATAGTTACGATTGGATAACTATATAGATTTTTATAATATCAATACATACAAGTAAATTCTTATATATTTGATAAGTTTTTTTTTTGTTATTGACTCAATAAACTAGAAATTTTGAAATAGTATTAGTAATGAAAATTTAAAAAATAAAAAAAATATAAAATTCATCCTTATTAATAAGAAAAATTGAGATGTATTTATAAGCAAAATCATATATTAATAGGAGTAGATGGAGTACTCCAACCCAAATTTTGGGAATAATTTAATTTTTTTATTTTTTATTATATGTTTTCATCTTTTAATTTAAGTATTTTATTTTAGAATGTGTTTAAATTGACTTATTTAATTTTATCGAAATATTTTATGATATTTTTTAGTAAATTTATTTTCATTTCTTTTAATAACTTACAAGAATAATTTATAACATATATTAAACAATTTAAATTTATTTTATTATTTATTTATAATCGTTTATTTTAATTTATTTTAAGAAGCACTTATAAGATTGTAAGTTGTTAAATTAATGTCTATTAATGAATTAAGCAGCCTTATTAAATGAGCTTATGTTCAAAGAGTAAGAAAATAAACACAACCAATCTTTTAATATAACTTAATTAATAAGTTGTGTAGAGATATGAGAGTAAAGGTGCAGATTCAAATTTGCTATATGAGAGTAAATTTTTTATCATTAAACAAAAAGGCAAACAAAATATACAATAATCAGTCAAAAATTTAAGATTTCTGTATATTATGAGTAAAAGAATAGGATTTATAATGTACTAGTATCCAAAAATTGTATAGTCAACAAATATCAATACAACAATTTTTAAAGTATTTACAGCATCATAACTACACCTACAACTTTAATTTAAGTCCTTTACATAAAATCTTTTTTGCCTTGTATATGATTATACACCTTTTTCCAGTACAAAACACCACGGTTGAGTTGGAGTAATAGAAGAAGCATATGAAAAAAATGATGATTATACTCTGTCTACAAAACAGAAGAGCATTTATAACATTTGGTTCAAGTTGTTACTGAGTAAAACCACACACACACAAACACACCCTATGTTTAATTCTCAATGTCATTCGCATTTATTAGACAGTGCCAACACTATGGACCTGTTTCTTCCTATCTGAACCCTTTTCTTTATTCCATTGGGTATGAAATGAATTCAGTGACTATGACTTGACCAATTCTTTTACTACATCCCTTTTCTTCACTATTCCTTGTTTCTATCAATAATCATACTTAACCCTAGCTAGCTTCGGCAATGAAGGTTTCAATCCTCGATTTTAAGAGTGTACTCTTCTCAAAATATAAATTTAAATTCTACTAACTGCAAAAGAAACTTTTGGATTAGGTCAAATCCACACAAAATTTTATTTTATCTTTAAACGGATACCACATATAAACGAACTCTTGCAAAAATTGTTCTTTTAAATTAATCGATTATAAAGACGAATATCAGAATAATATACTACTTTCCCACATTTTATTTAATATTTTCTCTTGAAGTTTGGTTTTTGCATGCACGGTTTTCTATATTTATTCATTGTTTTAAACGAATCAAGAATAAAAGAATATTGTAGTAACATAACATCGACATGAAATTATATGCCCGAGAATTTATTCACCTACTGCATTTCTTTCACCTCTCATCTTTATTACTTCCTTAATTATATGCTGTTTGTCCCCTCTTTCTTTTTCTCTTTTCTTTCTTCCGATACAACCACTTCAATTCAGAAATGAAAAAGGAAAAGATATTAAATTAACTTATAATGTCCATGAGATGTGACAATTCGACGTTGATATTCATTTGCAGATCCATGCTAAATCTCAACTCTAATTTTTATTGTGTACTTTTGTTGCATTAAATAGTAAGATTAGAAAGGTAATTGCTTTAAAATAATTTTATGCTATGAGTTGTAAGCTCTTAGCTAGGATATAGTTAGAGTTAAAGTTGACTCTGATGAATTTATTACAAAATTGGTTGTAAATAATAACCGATCATTATGTTGAATACAACGTGTTTAATTCAATTGTTATGAAATAAGTCTCATATTGACTAGGTAGAAATGTTGAATTTATAAGAAAGTAGATATATACTTCAATTATTTTAAAATTTTTTTATAGATATATGATATCAAAGTCTCTTAAATTCTAAAGTTTAATTTTATTAATATTTTTAGCCCTTCCCAGACTTTCCAACACAATAGTAAGTACTCTAATTCATTTCACTATTACATAAGTTTACTGATCCTTTCATGTTACCTTCAAGTGAGCCAATATGAAACATTGTTTCTTTCATGTTATCTTCAAGTGATCCAATATGAAACATTGTTTCTTTAAGAATCAAGAAATTAAACCAAAACCAATATTGATGCCAAAATCCAATGTGTCTTGTAGATACCTTAGGCAATTGCTTTAAAATAATTTTATGCTATGAGTTGTATGTTCTTAGCTAGAATAGTGATGCTAGGATATAGTTAGAATTAAAGTTAAGTCTAACGAATTTATTACTAAATTGGTTTGTAAATAATAACTGATCTTTATGTTGAATATATTGTGTTGACTTAAATGTGAGTGGTTAAATTTTACATTGATTAAAAATAATAGAAATATTAGATTTATAAGAGAGGAGATTCATACTTTTAATATTTTAAAATTTTGAATGAATACGTGATCTCTTTTTCTTCAAGTGAGCCAATATGAAGTATTGTTTCTTTAAGAACTAAGAAATTGAACCATGGACAAATTTAATGCCAAAATCTAATGTATCTTGTAGATAATAAAGATTCTTTTAAAAGCTACTACCATGTCATGCATGATAGCTAGCACATATATTAAACTTCCTACCATTTCTTTTATAGATGGTAGCATCTGAAGCCTTGTCATTTTCCTTCTTCACCAACTTGCATCCAGAGACAATAAGATTATACACTTTGTTGCATTCTTCCATGTAAAATCTTGATAGAATTTTAATTGCATATTTTTTGTTGATGGATGAAGATTCTACCTCTACTTTGCTTTACCTTAATCATCAAGAACTACATCATCTTTCCCAAGTCATTCAAAGCAAATTCTCCTTTCGTAGTATGCTTAAATTTACTTATCATTTAAGGATTATTGCTAGTGTAAATGAGATCATCCACATATAAGATAACAATAAGAATTCTCCACCACTTCCATATTTGGCAAAAAGAGTATGCTCATAAAGTCATTTGTGAATTCGGCCATATAGAGTTTTTCTGAGTTCAAAAACCATTTCAAATTTGCATTTGTGATAGCCAACAGGATAAATCTCACATCAATTAGGTAAAAATGTTGGATTTATAAGAAAGTATATTCATATTCCTATTGTTTTAGAGTTTTTGATGGATATGTGGTATCAAAGTCTCTTAAATACAAAACATTAATTTATTGACATTTTTATTGCTCCCCAGACTCCCTAACACAATAGTAACTCTAATTCATTTCATTATTACTTAAGCTTATTGATCCTTTCACTTTACCTTCAAATGAGCCAAAATGAAAGATTATTTCTTTGAGAATCAAGAAATTAAACCAGAACCAATATTGATTCCAAAATCCAATGTGTTTGGTAGATACCTTAGGATTCTTTTAATAGTTGTTGCCATTTCATGATTGGTAGCTAGCATATACATTAGACATTGTTACATTTTCTTGTACATGGTAGCATCAAAAACTTTTTCATTTTCATTCTTCACCAACTTGCATCGAGAGACAATTGAACTACACACATTATTTTT